TAAATGAAGATTCTCATCATGTTAATTTACCAATTTGGGTTTGTTAAATGAAAATTCTATTCATGTTATGTCATCGTTCGTTCCTGATTATTGTTAAGCAAGTGAATTTGGATTTTTTGGTTATCATTTTTGGTAATTTATAAATTTAGGACATAAGTGATCAACAATTTTTATCAGTAAATTAATAGGAATTTAGGTTGAACGGAAATCGACCGGACGAAATTCGGACTAAAGTTTGGGTTTGGTTAATGGCCATTTTAAGCTAATAACGTTAAATCAATGGGTCGCGGGTTCGAGTCCTTGGCAGCGCTTTTCAAAATGGATTTTTTCGAATCAGGTTTCATTTGAATATAACATTTAACTTAATGAATAAGCCAAAAAAACAAAAAAAAATTAAAAAAAGATGCTAAAAATCAAAAATAAAGAAATAAGCAAAGAATCCAAAAAACAAAGTGAAAGAAAACAACAGAAGAAAAAGAATGAGAAGAAAATAAGATAAAATAGTTAGAAAAATAAATCGGAAAAAAGAATCCGAAAAAAAGATCCCGAAAAAAAAAGATCCCGAAAAAAAAGATTCCGAAAAAAAATCGGAAAAAAAAATTTTTTCATAAAAATATTTTTTCAAAAAATTTTACAAAATTTTGAAAATCAGCGCCATCTGTTGAGTGCAACATAAACTATTTAAGCTAAATAGCTTTTCATATAAGCTGTTACACAAATTATTTCCCTCTGTGTAGAACGACAAGATCGTTTTGGTTGTAAGTTTTTTTTACGTTTGCGTTTTACTTCTATCATTTTTTCACCTGTTGACTTTCCTATAGCAGCCAATCCATATTGCATAATACGTTGTGGTAGAAAATTTGTAAAATCATCAATCCGTTATGAAACATTAATGCCAACATGGGAAAATTTTTCCGCTATATTTTATCATCGTAATATTGATAAAATGAAACCAATTTGTATTGAGGTAAATGAAAATTATCAATCTTATTGATTGACTAATTTCCAATTTTTCTCGCTATAGATATGGCATCGTGGTATACTTGTTGATTATTTTTTAGGTTCAGTCAAATTTCGTCCAAAATTAACAACAATGATTATCGATGATGATGGTGGTGGCGCTGATGTTCAGAATTCCAATGAACAATTTGTCGATCCAGAGCAACAAGAAGAAGAACAACAACAACAGGAAGAACAACCGATCGATGATCAACCGAACGATGAAGCAACAATGTCCAAATCCGATGATAATGATGCTGTTGATTTAAATTATCAGATGAATATTGAAACGATAAGCAACGACGATGATAATGACCAAGACCATGACCATGATGCTGATTCATCAATTGAACAACAACAACAACAACCAAATCATAATCGATTACAAAATGAAAATGTTTTAACTGCTGCTCCTGCTGATGATAATCATCATGATCAGGATTTTATTTGTCTTCAATTAATGGATAAAAAAGGTCATCTAAAACGACCAGGATTTGTTTTAATACGTTCAAAAACGATTGAAGATTTAAAATATTTTTAAAATATTCTGTGCAAATCATTTTCATTTCTTGTCATTTTTTTTAAATTTCTATTTTTTTTAAAACTTAAAAATAAATCAAATCAATAATTAAACAAACAAACAAAAAAAAACTAATTCAATGTATTTGTCACTAAGACGTGTTAACGGTTACTGTTGATAGATGGCAATCCATCAGAAATGAGCGTCCAATCCGCATCTGGTCAGATCATCGTTCCTAAGGACTACGTCCAGGTTGGCCAATTCATCCGTGGAAATACCATGTTTTATCATCATAGTACGATAACGAAAATCCATCCAAATTGGGCATCCAATCACAAATTGCTCCATCGTCTGCGGTTTGTTGCAATCAAACGGGCAGGAGCCATCCTCGACAAATTTGAAACTCCAGAGGTAATCTGTCTGGTGGCACAATGACCAGACAATATTTGCGTTAATAGTCTACTCATACCAAGCACCGTTCTTCACTCTCTCCCCAGTCGCCAAACTCGGAATGAGGCGAACCGTCCATCTTTCAGTTGAAGCTTATGTGGTCCGTGCGTTCGATTCAGCCATAGCCTTTTGTCGTTATTCATGTTTTGATGTAGACACAGGCATTTTGTTATACACCTCGACGGCGACGCTCTCCATCGTTGCCGCTTTTGCCAGTTGATCTGAGATTTTTTTTTTGTTAAAGTCTATTTTAATGAGATGATAAATGAATTAATACATAAATGTGACAATAAATTAAGGTAAATAAATAGATGATCCAGAAGTTCATGATGATGAGAGAACAATGATGATACGTTGCTTTAACTACGAATGATGACGATACACTTTGAACACGAATGAATACAATCAGATGATACCGAAACTACAATGAGGCTTGACACAAGGATTATACTAATACTGTTAACACGATGCCGACAATAACACCGAATCACAAGAACGGTGAACTGGTAAACCCACGATGCTACAAGAAAACCATAAACACGTTAAACAATAAACATAACAACAAAACAAGACAACATACGTGGTCGCAAGAACGAGCTGGTTTAACAATTTCTCAGCCTTTTATACAGTGGTAACCATGGTGCAGCGGTGAAGACTGGTAAAGTTCAACGCGGGGTTGGTCATAAATTTCGTAACAGAGAACAAAACTTAAGTTAACCGGCTAAGAACTCATACTTTCTCCCCTTGGTCACCTCCGTCGTTGGGATAATACGTTTGTTTGTGACTCCGACTTCGATGATTGTTATATCATTCGTTTTGAGATCATGGATGATAAGGTCGGGCTTGTTGTTTTCGATTCTATTATCAGTGATGATCGGTACATCTGATTTAATTCGTACTCGAGCATTTGATATTACATTTTCTACCTTGTAACTTTTCAACTTCTTATTTTTATTTAGGCTCTCCTTGTATATATATATGTAATCATATCAACCAACATTCGTTCTGCGGAAAACACGCCCATTTGCGAAAATTGTTCTCCGGCGACCATCACTCCAAATATTTTTGTGAAACTTGACAAGATTATTTTTCTCATTATACACACATTGTACACACATCTTATTCAAGGACACACCTTTTGGGCTGAGCTTAATTTTTGCTTTAGGTTTTTAAGTTTTTGCTAATTGGCTTGATTATTTCAATTGAATTAATCAAGCCAATTTACACGATGAAACAACTAGTCTAGTATAAAGTCGAAAAGTCGGTGAAAGTTTGTTTGTCCGGATCATGCATGCATGATCTGTCGAACTCGCCAGTTTGGCAAATTACAAACAAGGTTGTAGAACTTGCCGTTTATCATTACATAAGGACAAAATTTGAATCAAAGTTTCGCCATATAACGGTCACAAAATATTCCCTAAATTTCCTACAATTTCAAAAATAAAGAAAGTTTACCTGAATAAATGCGAACATGCGCTCAAAGAAGTTAACAACGACCATAATAGACGTAGCTTAATTTTAAAAGGGGGACAATTTTTTTCTTAGTGTAGTATAGTGTCAAGAAGAGAGACATTTTTTTCAGATCATTCTAGAAGATTCAAGAAGTTCTTAATGATTAACGAGCATCATTTGGGCGAGAGTATAAAAGTACTTCAAAAATCGGATTCATTCCCATTCAATTTTTGCTTTGTTAAATTTGTGAAATCTTCAATTTCTTGAATTGTTAATAGGTATTTACGTATTAGATGTAAAACGAAATTTCTTACGCAATATATTTTGTTTTTAAATCAAATATTTTTATTGGCAGTTAGATTTTCCTACCTGTTGCGATCAACACTTGTATGCTAACTTGTTTAATGTTGCTTTAAGAAATAAAACCGGCATTACATCATCTAATACTTAATTATCTGTTAATATTTTAAAAAGTGTTCAATTCATTTTTTTGAAAAATAAGGTCTAACATACCTCTCTTTGATTCGTTTTTTTTGACCAATTTTTTCTTTGGAAATTCTTGAATAATCAACAAGCTGATAAATTAAACTAATGGAAATAATGAATTCATTACAATTTCTTACAATGATTTTATTCTTTAAAATATTATCCGATATTTTGGTCTACTTATTGCGGAAAATATTGGAATCGATTATACCACAAAATAATAATAATTCTATTGAAATGGAATCATGGAATTTATTCTTTAAAATATTCTCCGATATTTTGGTCTACTTATTTCGGAAAATATTGGAATCGATTATACCACAAAATAATAATAATGCCATTGAAATGGAATCATGGAATTTATTCTTCAAAATAATTATGTATTTATTATCCAAATTGATTATGTATTTATTACCCAAATTGTTTATGTATTTATTACCCGAAATGATGGAGTATTTATTCTTCAAAATAATGATAAATTTATTCGCCAAAACATTGTCGGAAATAGCTGTATCATTAATTAAAAATTATTTACTTTCAAATTTTTCTCGAAACAATTGGACTAAAAATAAACAATTGAAAACTGAAAGTTTTCATGCAATAGAAGTTGAAATACCTCCTAATAATAATAATAATAATCATGTTATTGATATGGAATCGACTATACCAAATAATAATAATAATGTTATTGATATGGATTCGGTTATACCGCAAAATAATGATAATAATAATCATGTTATTGATTTCGATTTTATTGGAAAAAAATACCAGTGACGCATATATACGTCTTTTATTTGCTATGGTCCAATTTGTTTTTTTTTAAACCTCCGGTAGCGAAGAGGCCATAATTACCTGTTTTGAATTATTTTCCTTTTATTAAACAAATGAAACAATTTCCCAAAAAACATCTAAAATCAAAAAAAAAAAAACAATCAAATTCAAAATTCAATCACAAAAATGAAACAAAAAAAAAATCAAACCGAGTATTGGATTAGAGGGCGCTGATACTCTAATATTGAATTAATGATATAATCGAATGACACAGCATTTTTTTGAATTTTTTTTTTAATATATGATGTTACGCATTTTGTTACATTTTATATGAATTATCTATTCACTTATATTTATCATATATGAATTGAAATAAAAAGTAATTTTATCATTTACCAATGATCACAATATTTGAAATGAATGAATACCAAAAAAAAAAAAAAAACACTGAATTCACTTGTATTGATAGTTTTTCATTGAAAAACAAAAACATTTTCAATGGTAATAACTTAATTTAATTTAATTAAACAAAATACAAAAATTTATTTAATTTGGTTCAATAATGAAAAAAAGTGAAAAATTTGGATCATTTTTACCAAAATTACTAAAATTCAATCAGTTTTTATATATATACCAGATAAAAGAAACCGTAACCATATTGATTATTTTTTAAGATTGATTTATCATTAGTATTTAAGAGGGCTGCCTAACAATATTAGTTTAAAGTCAATTGAGATTAAAATGGAAAAAAGTTTTAATATAGAGATTAAAAAACAGTCGTTATTTTTTTCTTCTATTTAGCACTTTTAATTTTAGCCACTTTTTGATAAATAAGATTCCAAATGATGTTCCCTTATGTTACTAGGCACAATATTTCTCAAACGCTAACTTATATGGCATAGCGTTAAATACGAATGTACCAAATTTTTCGGTAATCAATTTTAAAGAAAAAAAGACCAAATGCCATCAATTAACTTGTTTGAATCATCCTTTGAGATGAATCAAGGCAACACACACATTCATTGTAAATTTTAAAATTTTTTATTCAACGTGAATATCCGAAATTTCGGATAAACGTTTTTCAATAAATTGAATTGAATTATCCTTTGAAAAAAAAATATTGCCTTTCGATTGCATCAGTAATTGATGATGATGATGATGATGATCTCATTTAATTTTAGGTGTGTATGTGATATATCAGCGTACCAGCGCCCCCTAATCTTAATACTCCAATTACTCATCAATTACTAATCAATTTTTCTGGAATTTTCTTGTTCTTTCTTGAGATTCAATAGGTTACTATAGGTGTGTTTGTAGATTATCGTCAACAATCGATCATTGAAAAATCTGCAAAATAGCTACCGCCATCTTAAAATTATAATCCAAAATATAAGATAGTAGTAGTCATAAATTTGTAAAATCATCAATCCGTTATGAAACATTAATGCCAACATGGGAAAATTTTTCCGCTATATTTTATCATCGTAATATTGATAAAATGAAACCAATTCGTATTGAGGTAAATGTTTTTTTTTTTTNGGGGTTTTAAAATATTGGTTGAATTGGCGGGGGGAAACCCCGGGGCCCAATATTTTTCAAATGAGCAGACATTTTTTTTTTTTTTTTTGTTGATTGATTTTGGGACCAAAATAAACAATAATCGGATGTTATTGAAAATTGTTGCTGAACGTTTATATAGGACCTTAAGTTGATGTTAGGGGGTGTGTTTATGTGACCTTGGGTGGGTGTGTATATGCCACCTTGGGTGTGTGTGTGAGGATGTTTAAATAGGGCCTTAGGGGAAGTGTGGGTGTGTATCTAGGGTCTTAGGTGGGTGTGTATCTAGGGGAGAGTATGAAGGATGCGTGAAAAAATAAAAATTGAAGGCATCAGGCACTGTTTTTTGTTCACCGAATTCAGAGAGAGAGAGAGAGAGAGAGAGAGAGAGAGAGCGCATCAATTAATTAGTCATCATAATCGATTCCCGATTCAATATCACCATTATTTGAATTTGCAAATTTTATTAAAACTTCAGTTACGAAAAATTTTTTTGGGAAATTTATTCGTAAACAATTTTGACGCCATTCAAAAGGATAATTATTTAAAAATCTGAATATTTTTAGTATCAGTTTGGGTATCATCACCATCATAGACATTATCATAGACATTATATTCAATGAAGTGAAGAAAAATAACCGGACAATAATATTCGGGTAATAAAAACCAAATTTCAGACGGATAAAAAATTCAACGAATTTGAACGAAATAGATTTTTTGTTATATTGGTCGCAACAACAACAACAAAAAAATCAAAATCAAATCAAAATGATGAAAACGCGTCAAACAACAAAAAATTAGTCAATTAACACTTTTATATGATGATTAGTCGAATAATAAAAAATTATGAAGAAATTTTCATTTTCTTGTGCGGTTTTTATAGGAAAAATCGCCAATCAATGTACGATTGAAAATCGAAAAAATATTGAAAATATTGAAAATTCTTTAAAATTTCCATTTTTTTGAAAAATCAATGCACGATCGTAGTTTTTTGACTTGAAAAAACTACTATGTGTTTAACGCAACGCAATTTATTTACATGCTTTTTTACTAATTTTTCTTCGTTAAAATGACAAAAAATAAATTTAAAAGATTTTCGGAAAAAATGAAATCCTAATGATAAATGTCCCTTCAAAGGGAAAAAATCGGAAAAATTTAAAGCGTAAAGTTTGCCCAAAAATGCCGTTTAAAGCCGTAATGGTATTACCAAAAAATTTTGATGAAAATACTTTCGTATTATACGCAACGTACAATACGCAATTATAAGTGGTTTTAAAGTATTATCACTATAGTGATATTGTTAAAATTTAGATGATAAACTAAAGTACAAATAAAAACAACTATAGTTATAATTAGTTATTTACGATTTCCAACGATTTTTCAATAATAATTTTTTTTTCAAAAATATTAAAATAAATCACTACAGATGTCGCTACGTGTATCACAAATTTTTAAAAAATTGAATATTTTTGAGAAAAAAATTGAACACGAGAATTTTTGTTACACGTGGATCACATCTCACCACATTTTTTTTATTAATTCTTTCTTTCTTTGTTTTTTTTCAAATATTATTCTTTTGTTGTTGTTGTTGTTGAAAAAAACAATCAAATCAACAACAACAACAAACAATAAATAAATAGGAAGAAGAATGACGAACAAGAAAAGGAAAACAGAAAAAAAAATTTGATACACAGGAAAAAAAAGAGAGGAATAACAAATTCAATTTGAAAAAAAACAAAAAAAACAACAACAAAATTATTAACAACAATTAACATTTAAATTATACACAGATTTTTGTTTGTTTGATTTTGGGAGGGTGAAGGAGGGTGGTAAGGAAGGAAGGGGGAAAGAACAACAACAACAACATCAATAATCAACATGATAATGATGCTATCATGCATCCATCATCATCAACAACAACAACAAAAAAAAAGACAACAAACAAACGACAACAACAAAGATGACATCGAAATAAAGATAGAGAAAGTTTAACATAAAAAATCATCAATTTTGATCGAGGTCAGACTAACAACAACAACAACAACAAAAATAAAAAAAGAAGATAAAAAATACAATTCGGAAAACATCCAAAAAATGAATTGAATTATTCAATAAGATGATGATGATGATGATTCTGTTTGGAACATGTTTTGTTGTCAAACGAAAACAAAAAAAATCTAAAAGAAAGAAATAAAATAAAACACAGAAATAAAGAAAACAAATGTTCCATTCAACATAATATCTTTCATAGTGGATGATGATGATAATAATGTTGATGGTAATCACGATGATGATCGATAATAATAAAATCGATGACCAAAATCTTCGATTTTTGTTGTTATTGTTCGATGTTCGATATTCGACATTCGATTCTATTTCAACAATATACAGCACTGGTTGAGTAGATTTTGGCTTCATTCGGAAAATTCTTGCTCTCGATTCTTGTTGTTGTTGTTGTTATTGTTTGACAGAATTGTTTTTGTATTTTCTCGACGACAACAACGAAAATAAATGTAGAAAAATAAAGAATGTACATGTTTCGAATGTATAGTATCAAAAAAAAAAAAAAAAAAAAAAAAAAAAAAAAAAAAAAAAAAAAATGAACAAAATGAAATAAAAATATTCATCACTTTTTTTTGTAATCGGAAAAAAAGGTTCATGTTTGAGTTTGTTTGTTTGTTTGTTATTGTCAACTGAATCATTTTCATATTTGATTTGATTTGTTTTTTAACAAAAGAATTTCGATTTCGATTTTGAATTGAATTGTTATCTGATTATGGCGTGGGCTCTTATGTTTGTTTTGGTATAAACAACAACAACAAAAAAGAAGAAGCTCCTAAAAATACACACACACACAAATGATACATGGTGGGTGAAAATAGTCAAAAATTCAGTGGAAGAGGGGAGGGAGGATGAGAAGAAAAAAGGTGAAATATTTGGTCCAATTTGATTCGTCAACAAAAAAAAAACATTCGAAAATTCTGTAGGCAGGGGGTGGAGATTCTGTCAACAACAACAACAACCAAAAACATTCGATTTTCATTATCGAAAATGAATTTGTTTTTTCCATTTTGTTTTTGTTTTTGCTTTGTTTTTGTTTTTGTGATATGTTTTGATTTTTCTTCGGGATTTTCATCAATGTCATCATCATCATTGTTGTCATCATCGTTGTTGTCATCATCGTTGTTGTTGTTGTCATTATTGAATGTCATAAAAATATTGTAAACATAAATGCAATAATATTAATTATAGTATGTTTTGCTTTTAGATATACACGTGATTTTTTGGCCGATTTTTTTGTCGTTGTCGATGCCGTTGATGATGGAATAATCGAATCGATTGATGATGGTGATCGTAAATTTGATGATTGTTGACGATCACTACCACAGCTGCCGCCAATACTATGATGCCTTAATGATGGACTTGGTGGTGCTTGACAACCTGGTGGTGTTTGTTGATTTGATATGGTTAAATTTAAAAAATTTGTATTGAGCTTATTTTTTGTTGGCGATTCTGGTGATGAAAAATTTGGTGATTGTGGACTACGTGTTGATGATCTTCGACGATATGATTGTTGTTGTTGTTGTTGTGATTGTTGTCGATGAAATGATGATGTACGTGAAAGACCAGCACCACCACCAGCACCTGTTTCCGATATTGGTGAACGTAATGTTGATGATGATGATCCAACATTTGGATCGATTAAAATCATTGTACCACCACCACCGCCGCCGCCGCCGATTGTTGTTGTTGTTGTTTGGATCGGTATTGGTGATGACGATGTCGATATTGTCGTTGGCGGAAACATTGATATTGATGGTGAATGTGAATGTGGATATGATTGATATGTACCAATTGCTGATAATGATGTTAATAATGGACTTATTGTTGTTGTTGTCATTTGATTACTTGAACGTCTTTTCATTAATTTAACACTATTTGTACGTTTTATCATTAATTGTAATTGTTTTTCATAATCAACAGTTTCAGCAATTGTTGGTTTTGTTGGAAAACGATTTATTGTTGCTGGTGATGATTGTTGTTGTTGTTGATTTGTTGTTGTTGTTGTCGTTGATTGTTGTTGTTGTTGTGGTGATGATAATGAACGATGATATAATATTGATTGTTTTCGATTATGATTATCATTATGGTGATTATGGTCATCATCATCGTCATCATCATCATCATCACCATCATTATCATCATCATCGTGACCATGACCATGACTATGACCACCATTATTATTATTATTATCTATCACAATAAGATCACCATTATCGTCTTTATCACCACCACCACCACCACTAACATTATCACCACCACCATCATTATCATGTGTTAAATTTGAATCAGAATATGATGTACGACGTAAACGATTTGTACCAACATAACCAGGTAAATATGGACATGATTTTACATGATTAATATTTGTTGATTGTAAATCTTCTTGATCATTTTCACGATGATAAAAATAATTAAAATTTGATACAATAACCGGTACAGGTAAGGCAATAGTTAATACACCGGCAATAGCACATAATGAACCAACAAATTTTCCCCAAACACAAACCGGTCGCATATCACCATAACCAACAGTGGTCATTGTAACAACTGCCCACCAAAATGCATCCGGTATTGATTTAAAATTTGATCGTTCACTATCAGCTTCAGCATAATAAACAGCTGAACTGAACAGGACGACACCGATTAATAGAAAAAATATTAATAATGCCAATTCTTTCATCGATGCTTTCAGTGTCATTCCCAAAATTTGTAAACCTTTTGAATGACGTGACAATTTGAATATACGAAATACACGTACTAAACGTATAACTCTTAATATTGCTAATGATGATGATGATTGTGATTTAGAATCCAAATTTCCATGTAATATTTGTAATTTTTGTAATTCATCATCTTCCGGTTGTTTTGCAATCATTGTTGCTAATGTTACAAAATATGGTACAATTGCAAAAAAATCTATTGCATTCATTATATCCTGTTTAGGTGGAAATAGACCAAAAAAATCAATTCAAAGTAAGTTTGATTTGACATTTGAAAATGAGAAAAAAACTTTACCTTTAAAAATGTAATTTTTGATGGACAGGCAAAAAATCTGATCAAAATTTCAATAGAAAACCAAATAATACAAATTGTTTCAATAATAAAAAATGGTTCTGTATATGATGGTACTTCATCTTCAATCACCCGAGTTAAATTTGATGTTGTATTAAATATTTTATAATGTTTATATTCAGGTAATGTTTCTAAACAAAATATTAATATTGATAATATTATGATTACCACAGATATAATTGCAACAACACGTGCCCATTGTGATGATTCGGGATATTCAAACAATAACCATATTTTTCGTTTAAATTCATTTTTTGGCAGAGGTTTTTCTTTTTCCTTTACAAAACCTTCATCTTCACGAAATTTATTGAATGCAGCTTCACCTAATTCAAAAAATTTCACCTCTTCAGCAAATATATCCAATGGTACATTTACTGGCCTCCGTAAACGTCCACCTGATTGATAATAATATAATATTGCATCGAATACTTGACGATTACGATCGAAAAAATATTCATTTGTGTGTGGATCATAATATCTATAATAGTAATTGGGGAAAATTTTCGGGAAAGAAAATTTCCGGGAAATGAGAAATTTTCCGGTAAAGAAAAGAAAAGAAATATTTAAATATGATATCATTATCGATTAAATTGATTGATTATTCAATCAATCAATACTTGGTAATGAATGTTTTTTTTGTACTTTCTCTGTGTAAACTAAATTTCAATGATTGATCGATTTATCGATCGATTGAATTGATTTATCGATTAGAAAACAATTAATCATTTTAATTTTCTCAGTTTCAGTTTCAGTTGGTGTCGATTATTGTTGGCAAGAATCAATGAAATTGATATTAAAAAAATAGTTTCCCTGCCGTATAGAAATCAATGGATTTCAATCAAAATCAATTCATCATCATCATCATTGTTGTAATTAAATGTGTGAATTTAGGATGTTGAAGAAAGTTGTGAAGAAAAAAAATCAATATCATCATCATCATCATCATCATCATTATCGATTTTCAAAGAATCTTTCCCAAAAGACATTTCTTTTGGTTCATCATCATCATCAAGCACAGCTTTACAAAAACTCTCATACCACATCAGGATGAATTTCATTTGAAAAACAAACGAACGAAAAAAGCAAAAATAGAAAGAAAAAAATTCAATTATTTTGGATTAAGACTGAGCAGCCAGAAAATGGCCCAAAAAAAAGAAATATCTGGGTTTTGGAGAAGTTTTGAAGAAAGTTCCAACATCAACAACAAAAACTAATCTACAGACCAAGAGATCGTCGTGAAACTGAAATTAGCAAATTAAGTTTTTGTTTGTTTTTGTCGAAATTAACAAAACGAACAAACAAAAATTCTCATTATAAACAAAATTTTAATGTCTGTTTTCGTTTTGGTCATTGTCCTTTGGTTTAGTATGAAAATAATGATGATGAAAAAAAATCCTGAATTTTGGAAAATTTCCTGTAAAACTTCTGGAAACTTTCTCTATCTAGTTCTGCGTGTCAACATTGATTAAAACTGATCTTTTTGCCCTGTGGCTCGATTCATCGATTCGGATGAAAAAAATTTTGATCAAAAAAATCGATTTTTTCGTAATCAATTTTTTTCGCTGTTGTTGCTCGGATGGATAAAAAAAATAATAATTGAAAATAAATTGGAAAACTTTTTGGAATTCAAGAAATTTGCCTGCTCTTTCCAGAAATATTTCTGGGTTTCTCCGGGGTTTTTTTCCAAGGATTTATCACTATGCAACCGACAAAAATTTAATCTGTTTTTTTTCTCGAAATGAAAAATGGGAAAATGAAAAATTTCTGTTTTCAAAAAAAAAATTCCCCGAAAAAATGTTCCCGGAAAATTCCCAAAAAAAAAATGATGATATCACATCACATCACATCATCCAAAATGATCAATAATTAAATATCAATTGCATAAGAATCTTTTCAGTTTTATTTTTCATTTTTCGTTTTGTTGCCTCCCTCGTCATTGATGATTATAATTAACATGGTGGGCGTGTGTGTGTGTGTGAAAAAATTGTTCCAGAATCCAGAATTCAGTAATAACAGCAGAATTTTCTGGCTGCTTCTGTCACGAACATCAATTATCATCATCATCATCATCGTTGCCTTTTCGAGAAATTTGCATAAAAATTCAATCAGAAATTGATCAACCAGCACAAAAGTAAATGATCATCATTAATTTCTTTTTTGTCTTTTTCGTTTTCCAAAAATTCTTTTCATGAACAGAATTTTTTATTTTTTGAAAAAAAAATTTAAAATTTAAATTTTTACAGCAAAAACAAAACAAAAGGACATCTTCTCTTCGGTCCAAAAAACCGATCAGAAATCAATCGAATAAAATGACCAACAACAACAACCAAAAACAAAAAACAAAAAGACAGAAAACATCCATATCAAACATCCAAAACATCTCTAAAAAAACAATCCATTTTAATAATTAAATTTTTAGTTTTGTTTTCGGTTTCGTTTTGTTTTGGTTTGGTTGTTGTTGTTGTTTATCATTTGGTTACATCATAGACAAACTTAATAGACGACTAACGATGTTTTTTTTCTAACTTTACAAGTTTCAAAGTTTATTCGTTTATTCGGAAAACAAATAAAAAAATAAAAAAAAACTTTCCGGAAAGAAAAATGAAGAAAAGAATTGTTTACGCAAGATTTGACATTATCAATTCTTTTGCTATGTTGTTGTCGTTGTCTGGATGGTTTTTAGTTTCTTATCTTTTTTTTTTTGCTTTGTTGTTCTTTCAGTGATTCTTTCAAATAATGAAAGTGAGTGTTGGTGTTTTGTTTAACTTGGAAAAATCAAAGCTATATTTGGTGACTTTTTTTCTTTGAAGTTTTCTATTCTCGATATTCTGTAACGAAAGAATCATATTCTTAAAAAAAACATTAAGTTCTTATGAATTTTCTCTTGTTTCTTTTCTGTTACATCACACATTCCTTCAAAATTGAATTCGATAATGTCAAACCAAAACAGAGCAAACAGAACGAATGAAAATTTGATTCCATAATTTGATGATGGAACAACAAAACAAAAAAAATGTTTCAGGCATGTGTGTTTGTCATTATGTAATGTAATGGGTGGGGGAAAAAGGAACGAATTTTCCGAATGGGAAATGAAAAATGAATGAAAATATGGAAAAAACTTACCGTATTCTTTTGGCCGGATCACCTAATAATGTATTTGGAAATTGTTGTAATGTACGAAGCTGTGTTTGAAATATTAAGCCACTAATATTAATTGTAATACGTTCACATAAATCATGTCTATGTAATAATGGTTCAAAACGTGAACCAAAACTAATAATACCACCAAATTGTAGATTTTGTTGTTGTTGTTGTCGTTCAGCATTCGCTAATAATTCATTATCTTCATAATATTGTTGTCCACCTGGATGATCATAATAATCACCGCCACCACCACCACCACCGGTATAATCGATACCATCAATGCCACCAAAACCGGAACTAGTACCAATACCACCACCGCCACCACCTAAATCATCTTGTGTTGATTTTGGTATCGATCTACAAAGACAAATTAAAAATAATACCAATATGGCAATTATCATAAATATCATAAATAATGGTGCCATTTTTTTTGTCAATTGGAATTTTGAATTTTGAATTGATTAACTAAGGGTTAATCGATTGAATTGAATTGAATTTGAATTTGAATTTGAATTTGAATTTTTTGGACAAACAAAATAAAGATTTGGCATCATTTTTTTTGGATAATAACAGAATTTATGAATGATAGTAACAGAATTTGTGAATGAATTTTTCTTGTGTTTAGCTTTGATCGATAAATAAATAAAACAACGTCGTTTATGGCGTCGTTGTCGTAATGTTTGATTTGTAATATTTTTAAACATTTATAATGGGAAAAAATTCAATCAAAAACAAACAAACAACAATTTCCATTAAGCAATATGGATTCCAGAAATGAAAATTTGAAATGTAAAAAATGAATTTTGTTTTTCTTTGCGGGTAAAATCGGAAATTGGAATTTTTTTTCCAAAATGATACGGTAATTGAATGATGTTTTTTTGGCGCTGTTGATGTATGCTTGTGTCTTGATGTAAATGTAAATCAGAATTCAGCAATCAAGATAGGAAAAACATCATCATCGTTTCGTTTTTTGTTCCAGGAACGGAAAAAAAAGTGTTTGAAAATCATGGTCGTCGTTTATATATCACATCAGTCACACATAATGATGTAATGTTTGTAATGAGAGAAAACAAATTTGGTTTGAAATTTTTTTTTTTCAAATGATGAATAACACTTGTTTTTTTCTCTATGTCGAAAAAAAACATTCATTCATTTAATTCTGTATGACATTTTTGCAAAAATGAAAATCTTCATTGTCATTAATGACAGAATTTTAACAACAACAACAGAGAAAAAAACTGAAGAAAGAAAACATTTCACTTCATCACGATCATCAACACAATGAATCTTAATCATTTTAACTTGAAAAAATAAAATGTTTAAATGTTTTTTTTCTCGATTCTTTTATTTCCACAATTCTTTAAGAATCGCTAAGAATCGTGAAGAATTGTTATTCAAATATTCTGTTAATAAGATTTTTCTGTTGAAAAACTGTTTTGCACCCGAAAAAAAATCATGAATAAAAGTGAATGTTGAGAATTTGTTGAATTTTAAGAATCTTTTTTCTTTTCTTTTTTTCATTTCGGTTATTTGTTGAAAATGTACGAAAATAAGTAAGTATTAAAAACACCAGACACACCGACACATTCAACGACGAATCAAAGTGATTTTATAGAGAAAATTTTCTTTAAAATTTTAAATAAAAAAAATTCATCGCTGCTGCTGTTTGCTGATCTTGGCCTCGATTTTTGGCATTTTACAGAAGAAAATCAACTAAGAACATTGTTGTTTATCGTTTAATTCTGTTTAAAAGTGAGAATCAAAATCATTTTTTGATTGTTGAATATGATGATGGTGGTATGGTGTCATTCATTCATTTTTTATGAAAAAAAAGGAATCATCATCATTTGTCATTTTGAATTAACAATATGGAATTGAATGAATGAATCTTTCTTTCATTGTTGTTGTTGTTGTCATTGTTGTCGTAGTTGTTGTTGTTGTTGAAAAAAGAGCATATTTTTTTAAAGAATTTTGATAATCTCTATTGAAATTTCCGAAAAAAAACTTATTGTTGTTGTTGGTGAATTTTGACAATGATAACAACAACAACAACAACAAATTTGATTTCTTAATATTAAGTTGCTTTGTATAAAATGAATGTAGAGTGTTTTTTTCGTTTCGTTTTTTAAGCAAAAAATCCAAAATGACTTTTTTCAATCTGCAATCAATCAATCCGATTCGATCCGATCAATCATCAATCATTGAATATTTCTCAACCCCAAAAAAAACGAAAGAATTTCAATTGAATTCTTCTTTTTCACTTCTCCAAATAGATTCTTAAATATTCTTCGTCAATAAATAAACCAATTCGAAGATGTTTATTCGGTAGACAAAAACCACTCAAGATGATGCTTAATGGTTAATGGTTATGATGATGATGATGGAAATTGATTTCAAATTGAAAATGTCAAAGTTGAAAAGATTGGCTTCTTCGCTTCTTTTTCGCTTCTTTCTTCGTTCGCTTCTTTCGCTCGTTTGTCTTTAATTAATGGTATCCTCTTGAACAGAAATCAATTGAAATTCACTTTTTTTCCTTTATTTGACAATGTGGATCATCATTATTTATTATTATTATGGCTTTTTTTTCATTTGAATTTCAATGAAATGATCAATAAATCAAACGATAATGATGTTGTTTGGATCAAATATCATCATTTTGAGCATCATTATTATTGTGACAAACAACAACAACAACAACCCGAACAACAACAACAAATTTCTTTTATTTCATTAAATTAGGGAATTTTTTTTTTGCTTTGAAATGTCATAATAGCTGGAGAGTTGGAAAATTAAATAACTCATTAATAATGATGATGATGATGTTGTGGATGTGGAAATAGAAATGATGATGATTATGATGATGATGTGGAAATAGGATACGGGTTTTTTTTATATCAGAAAAATTTCATAATCAGGATATCATGTATGATTTGATTTTCTTCAAATTGAAGATGGATTTTTTTTTTAACAAGACAACGAAAAACTGGCTATAAAACAACACACGGACACGAACGAAATAAAAATTTTGAAAAACAACAAACAAACAGCAAACAGCAAACAAACAACAAGATACAAATGTAGTGAACGAATCGAATAAAATATTCTTTGTGGATGGCAAGCAAAAAAAAACAAAATAGACATTAATATCGTTGAGGAAAGCAAAATAGACGAATTTTTGCTTCTGAAGTAAAAACCGAGAGTGAAGTTAGCAGAGTTTGTGTGTGTGTAGAGAATTCGGAACAGAATCAGCAACAAACACATCATCAACCGAATAGAATAACCGACCGACCGACCGAATTCCCGAAATTCGGGCAAATCTTGTTTTCTGCTGTATAGTGTAGTGATGTTACCACCATCATTACTACCACTACCTATACTGCACAGAATATTTGCAAACGAAAAATAAAAATTCCTTTTTCTATATAAAACGAATTGAATTCTTGTTTTCGATTCTGTGTTTTTTTTTTTTTTTTTGGTGAACAGCGACGATTCCAACAATGGTTATGAAACAAATTTTTTGTTTTTTCCTGTCCGTTTCGAGTGAGACACACACACACACACACACACACACACACACACAATTATATTATGGACGCATGGATAAATCATCAATGATGCTGATGATGAGGAACGTTTTTGGTTCAATTGTGAAACAAACGAAACAAATAAAAAAAAACGAAAAATTCCATAAACAACAACAACAAAAATGATTCGAATTGATTATTTGTTCGGCCAATTTTTCAACGAAGAAGAAGTTTGATGAAAAAAAAACCTGATGCAAACCTGAAGGTGTCAAGGTAGCCAAACCAACCGGAATATCAAACTTGATCAAGTTTTTTTGTCACTGCTGCTGCTGTTGTCGTCATCAGTTCCTGAACAACGACAAAAACAACCCACGCATTTCAACATAATGATGGTTTATGACTTGATGGGAGAGAATATTCATGCGAATTAAAAATAAATAAAGTAACTTTTACAGTAACATTTGGAAACTAAGAAAAATGAAAATTGATTGAATCCAAGCAGCAGCAGCGTCAAGGAAAAGTAAAAGTTGGATTTTTTCTTTTTAGTTAGTTAGTTTTGGGTAGAGCTGAAAATCCATTTATTATTAAACAACAGGATTTAGCCAAGACGAACAAGAAATTATGCGAAATTCTCTCCAATTTTAGCAAGAAATCGAAAAAATGTCAAAATTAAACCAAAAAAAACTACCATTCCAAATCAACAGATGGCGCCAGCTATCTCATAATTTATTTATGAATTTGAATTTGGCGCAAAAAAATGAAATTACCCCAAAAAAAAAATTCTTTAAAAGAATTTACTTACGATACTAATAAATTCTGCATGCTTAAACTACGAACACCAGTAGCAGCAGCACCAGCTGATTGTTGTTGTAATTGTATAAAATTTAATGATGATAATGATTGTTGTTGTTGTTGTTGCGACTGTTGATGAATATGTTGTTGATTAGGATGTAAATGATGATGATGATGATGAAATGATGCAAATGTTGAACTACCAACACCGCCGCTAGCAGCGCCACCACCACCACCGGTAGTAGTACTGCCAGTAGCTCTATCTGGTGGTGGTGCCTGTAAAAACATCGGTATCATACTACCAGTTTGTCCAGGACCAATACTTGTACCAGGTAAATAATTTGAACGATCGGATGCAAATTGTGGTGTACCAGGTACACCTAAACCATATGTACCATATGCTGAACAGAATGCCATTTTAATTAATTAATTTTGATCGGCTATTTCGACAACGATAACCAAAAAAACAACAACAACAACAATGTCAAGGACGATAAAAAAGAAAAGGGAAAAAACAATAATGACGCTTAAATCAAGAAGAAGAAGAAAAACAACAAAAACATTCAAGCTGAATTTTATCATCCACGTGGAGAGAAGAAGATTTAGAAGAAAATTGACACAAAAATTAACACACAGGGCCCAGTACCAGAACCAAAAACAAAACAAAAAATTCCTGATCAAATCAATCAAAATTTGAAGGAAGGAGAACAAAAATGTTACATTTAGATGCTAGATTTAAGACTTTAATTTAATTGGAAATTTAATGAAAACAATGAAAACATGAATGAATGAACAGAATTTTAGAATCAGAATTGATTGTTTTTTCGTTCGTTTTTGTTATTGTTTTTCCGCATGTGTGTGTGTGTGTAAAATAAGTTACAAAGTAAATTTAATTTACTTTGTAACTTCAATGAAGGAAAAAGAAAACAACAAGTTAATACTGCTAATAAATAAATAAAATCGAATGAAAAAGAATCGAAGAATCGAAAAAATCGAACGGAGAGAATCGAAAATCTATTTAATCTTCGAACACCGAAACAAAGCGAAAAACATTTTTCCAAATATAACAGTGACGGTGATGGTTTTGTATTTCATCATCATCATCATCTTTGAATGATTCTTTCGACATCGAAACAAAACAAAACGAAAATAATAATAATAATATTAATGATGACGTCAAAAAGATCAATCACCAAAAGAATCAATCATCAAACAATCAAAAACATCAGAAAGAAGGAATTTAGGAAAAAATTCCCATAGAATATGAATTTGAAAGATGAAAATTTTCTCATTTTCAATGACCAACCACTGTGATGAAAATTGAACAATAATCATCATCCATATCATCATCATCAAATGAATGAAAATCACATTTTTCAGATCGATATGGAAAAATTACGAAAAAAATTGGTAATCAAATTTTTTGTAATTTTCTTCGGTTTGGTTAATTTTGCACACCAGCACAATTCATTTATTGACCTAATTTCTTTCATTTTTAACAAAATTATTATTATTTTTGGGCAATTTTTCTGAAAAGAAATTCTGGAAAAATTCCCGAATTAAAATAAAGAAAAGAGAAACGATGAATGTTTCAAATATAATTATAGCAACCATCATCATCATCATACGAAGGAATTTTGTATTTTTAAAAAAACATTCAAATGCAATGTGTTTGTGTGTGTTTTATTGAATTTAAACAAACAAAAAAAAAACATGAAAAACATGACAAATTACATTGTGTTACATTGTGTGTTTGTGTGTTTGGGTGAAACAGAATATTCTTTCATTCTGGCTAGACACATAAAAATGAAAATGAAAATGAATTTTTTTTTGAAAAAATGTTAATAAAATCAACAAGAGGTGGGAAAAAAAATGTCAGAATTTTCAACCAGTTTTTTTTGGGTGCAGAAAAAAAACAAAATTGATCTCTTGAGAATGAATGGGGGAATTTTTATTTTTTTCCTCAGAAAAACAACAGTAAAAAAAACACATTTAGTAAAATGTTTGACGAAAGAATATTCTTTGTTTCAAAAAATTTTTTGTTGCAATTTCAAATTGAAGAATAATTATATCGATTGTTTTTTACGTTTTGCCAGGCGAAAATTGTCAAAGTTTGACGAATGATAATAAAAATTCTTTAGTCAATTTCAATCATTTTTATTGAAATTCAATGAATAATATTCACTGTGTGTGACATATGTATGTCATAAAAATTGTTTGTTTTTTACAAAGTTAAAATTCTGGGGAAATTTTCCAACAAAAAAAACTAATAAAAAAAATTTCCAAGAATTTCTCTGTGTGTAAATGGTAATTTTGAATTCAGAATTGAAATTACTATAGTAATATTCAACGAGTCAGACAGAAGTTCAGAATTTCGAAAAGTAGAAAGCAGAATATTTAATTTTCTCTCCGATTCTGATGATGATGAAAAATGATCAAAAACATTTACCCAAAAAAAACACACCGGACATTAGATTTTTTTTTCCATTAACAAATCGTTTCATTTCCTTTACGGGTTTTCTGGCTGAATAAACCCACAAGCAATCAATCAATAATTTTCCAATCAATATAGATCATCATCATCGTTTATTTCTCTGCTCTCTCTCTCTCTCTCTCTCTCTCTCTCTCTTGGTTCGATTATAACATCAAAAATTAATAACTAAACTGCATGTCACTATATAATACTGATGATAATAATTTTCTTCTTCTTCGGTTTCTAATAAATTCAAGGTAAACGGAAATAGAATGTAGTGAAAACCGCCTAACCAAGTAGCAGCATTTTTTATTTTTATTTAAATAACCTTGAAGAAGTAACCAACAACCAAAATGAAAAAAAAATAAAAAAAATGCAGGGGTGGTTCAATTCTCTTGAATTTGGATACGAATTTTTTTTTTCTATTTTTAGAAATTTTCTGGCCTATATTTTCTTTTTAAAAAAAGTGGTGGTTCATCATCATCATCATCATCATCAAACAAACATTATTTTGAAAACTTTTTTTCAGGATCAAAAAAAAAGAAAGAAAAGAGATGAAGTGGATTACTACTATGTTTGAATGTTTGCTTCTCTCTCATTGTAACCCCTTATCGTTTTGGAAAATTAGTTTTTTTTTTGTTAAAATTCAACAAATTTCTTTTTTAATGATGATGGTGAAAATTCTGGTACCGAAAAAAAGTAAAAAATAAAATGTAGTAGCTTTTTAGTTAAAATCTTTTTTTTAGTTAGATCTTTTAATAGTGATAGTAGTTAATAACTAAATTCAAAACAAAATTAGTCAAACAATCAACCAAAACATCCAGATATTAGATAAATAATCTTCTGAACAAACATAGAAAAGAAAATCGAAAAAAAGCAAAAATTTTCTTCTGATAATGGAAATGGGGAATTTATCGTCGTCGTTTGTTTGTTTGTTCATATATAAATGTACGGTAATAATAATCAACATTATAAGATGATGATGATGAACCAGAGAACAAAACAAAAAAGATAATCAAATCAAATCAAAAAGCCGAAAAAAAAGAAAAAACTCTGTTTGTTTCAACTAAAAAAAAACAACCATAAACGACAAGAACAACAGCGAAAAACCGAAATGTTACCGACCTTACATTGAGTGTGTGCGCTAGTGTTAAATATTTAACTATATGATTCGACCAAAATGAAAAAAGAAGAAAAAGAAAAAATCTAATATAAAATGGATTCAATATTAAGACATTATCGTTATTATTATTCTCTGTGAGAGAATTTCGCTTTTTTGGTTGATTTAATGGGCTTTTTCATCATCATTTTATTCCAAAAATAAAACTTTATTTTTGGATGACCCTGGTATGACATCAAAAATCATTGATAATCAATAAGAAACGCCGAATAAGAATCATTTACGAATCTTTACCGACAAAGAAAATTTCAATGAAAATTCTGATGATGATTCTGTCGGTCGGTCGATGCTTGATGTTCTGCCTGATAAAAGAATGCCTCATTCATGAGAGATTTCATTCAAATCATTGAATATGTAAGAAGATTATTTATTATAACGAAAGAAAACAACAACAACAACAACAACAATTCTTCAAAAAAAAACCGAAAAGGATTATGATGATTTACGTTTATGGTTGTTTTTTGCAAAAAAAAAAACAATGACTGAGCATTGAATAACGACAACAATGATGATTATACGAAAGGAAAGGAAAGCAAAACAAACAAAACAAACATCAAGAATCGAGATAAGACAACCAAGATAAGACCGAAAATAACAACAACAAAAGCAAAAACATCATTTTGAAAAAAACAAAAAACGTTTTTGTTGTTTTTGGGGATTTTGTAAATTATGATTTTGAGGAAGGGCTGATTTAGTGTTAATTTTGGATGAATGAACAGAATTTTGTTGTTGTTATCTTTTAGCTGAAATTTCTCAAGATTCTATAAACTTTTTTTGTCATTTCAAGCAAAAAAAACACGAAAAACAAAAAAAAAGTCTATTTCGACCTGAATGACAACCTATTATTATCAAAATATAGATTAATCAAAACTGGACACAGAATGTGACAAATTTTCTACTTCTTCTCATGACGATTCTGGTGGATGGATGAAATTCATTTTGTTTTCTTCTTCTTCATTCATTCATTGAATAACATTTTTCTTACTTTGTTTATCAAATTACGATGATTTTCGATGATTTCACGAAGGAAACTGGACAATGGTCAAGACACACACACCGTAATACACCGAGACAAACATCGAGAATAATTATCACTTTTTGAAAACAAAAAACTTTTACAGACGAAAAAAAATATCACAAAATTTTCAATTTCAATTTTTGGACAAAAACACAATGTGTGTGTGTGCGAAATTATTGATTATATAATAAATATCGGATTGCCAGAAAAAAGTAAAGAAACGAACAACAAACAAACGATAAATTGCATGTCATGTGTGTATGTGTCATTTGATGTTGTTGTTCATGTGTGTTTTGCTTTGTTTCGTATGGTGGTTATTATTTTGCATTTTTGGAAACGACGACGACGAAGAATCCTGATGATGCGTTCTGTATTTTGTTTTCGATGATCGATTCTGTTGGATGCGCCGGATTCATTTCAGGGGGATTTTTTTTTATCATTTCGCCGAATATTTTATGAGGTATATTCCGAGGATGAAAAAGAGAGAATAGAAAATGAAATAGGTAGGCGCCGACTCAACCAAAATGTTTTTCTTTGGGTTTTCTTGAAGAAAAACAAATAACAAAGAATGATGATGATTATGATGATGATCATCATATAAAGACAAATAAAAACCAAAAGAGAAAACCGAAAAAAACAAATGAATAAAGGATGCGTTTGCGCAAAAAGTAATTTCTTTTTCAATCCATTCTGATCTTGATCTTGATGATGTTTAATGATGATGATGATGATGATTGAGATTTGAAAAAGATTTGGTTTTTTTTCGGGGCCATTACCATTATCCATGTTTTGTTTTGGTTGATTTAATTGTAAAATTCTTGGTTTGGTTTGGTTGTTTTGAAAATTCCTTCCGAATCTGATCATTCAAAACAACAACAACAACAACAGCGAAAATTAAATTCAGTTTTGCATGATTTCAATCCCAAATGCAGAAACTGAAAAACCTGGAAACAGAAAAATCCCCATAAGAATTGGTTGGCTGGATAATTTTTTTCTGCTGAATTTTCAATTTAAAAAATACAACAAAAAAAAAATAAATCAACCAAAAAACAACTGCAAAGATAACCAGGAATTGTGAAGAAACTGAAAACAGAACAAAGACAAAACAGCAAAAACACAGTTTTTTTTTTGAAATAAAAAATATGTTTTTTTTTCACACTTTCTCCATGAAGAAAAAAACGAGTAATGTCCATTTATATAAAACACATTGTATCCAATTTTTCTTTCGTTTCGTTTTGTGTGTTGAAAAGGCAACGAACAAGAAGAAGAAGATTCTAGGTCTAGTGACACACACACGCCGAGAGAATATTCCCTAAAGAATCTTCTTTGTTTTTTTCCATCACATCACTGACTATCGGTGATTATTTTTCTGCTTAGCGCTGGTTTGGTTGCAAAACCATTTTTCATATTTTCGATGATGATGATAATCGATATTGATTGAAAATAAATCTTGACCTAGGTGGTCATTCAATTCAAATTCCATGAAAAATGTTGCTGCAATTTTTCTGGTTGCATCCAACAAAAACATCCTTAGTCTTTTGTTGATGTTATTGATTTTTGAAAAAGACAAAAAAAAAGAATTTCAACCAGGGAAAAATGCTTGAGGCTTTTTTTTCCAAAGATTCTTCTCCATGAACGTTTCAAAAAGTTTAAATAAGGAAAAAAAGTTTAAAAGTTTGGCTTTAAAGTAAACAAAAAAAACGAAGAAAATTTCAAAATTCGTTCGTGTTTGCACGGTGTGTTCCAAAAAGAAGAAGAAAGAATCCGGGCTGGATCGGATGGGCCTTTTTTTCACTGATTATTTTCAAAATTTCTTTTCAAAAAATTTTCAATAGAAAATTGAATTAAGAAAAATATGAACATCACAAACAGGCAAACAAACAAAATCTGAATACTGATAAGTTTGTTTTTTTTGTGTTGTTTTAGTTGGATATCATAGCAAAACAAAACAAAAGAAAAAACTTTCATTTGGTTGTTGATGATAACCAAACAATGTTATCAGGTCAGTCATGAAATGAAAGAAAAAAAAACATTATTCAATTATGAATGACGAATGAATGAAGCCAATCAGAATCGATGACCAAAGAGAAAAAAATCAATTGAATCAAAAATCAAACTGAAATCAATTCATAATCAATTGAATTGAATTTGGAAGTAGAAACAAAAAAAAGCATATTCAATTCATCAAATTGATGAATTGAATTGAATTGAAATGAATCGAAACAAAAAATGCCTGGGACAAACAAAACGACAGAAAAACAGGTCCAAATTATGTCAGTTGTTGGGTGATAACAGCGATTTTTATTTACGCATCGATTGTGACAGCAACAACAATCGATGCGAAAGTGAAACAAAAATCAATCGAATCAAGAGAGAGAGAGAGAGAGAGAGAGAGAGAGAGAGAGAGAGAAGAGACAACAACAACAAATCTCAAGAGTTTTCCCGAAAAAAAAACAAAAACAAAATGAGAATTGAAAATTCTTGTTTTTGTTTCATCGATTCGATGTTAACGAACAAACAAAAAAACGATACTAATATGGTTGAATGTAACAAAAAGATTTTCTTTTTGACTTTTATTTGATCTTTGATTCTTGTTTGATTCTAAAAAGAAAATCAACGAGATTGGCTGATGATGATTGAAAATTTGATTTTCATCATCGTTTTCTTTTATTGTTTTTGTGCAAAATGTGTAAAGATGTTTTTTCACGTTTTCTGTTTTCGATGATGATTGACCAAGTTGATAAGTTTCTTTTTTTTCTAGTTGAAAACACATGAATGACACTTGAAGAAAAAAAAACAGAAGAAAAAGAATATTCTTTTCAAACATTTCATTCTGAATGTTTTTTCGTTTGCTTTTGAATGAAATTTCAAACTTGAAAGAATCGAAATTCGAAGGAAAACATTTTGTTTCTGTTTGTTTGTCTGATTTTTATCTCTTGTCAATTTTGAATTTTGGAAACAAAGAAGAATCATTTTTTTTTGCTTGATTAGCGGTAACATGATTCAATTTTTCGTAATTTGACAAGCGACATACGTATTTTATTTGATTTTGATTTTCGTTTTGTTTTGTTTTCACATTGTTGATTTAAACGTAAAGTTTCCAATTTAAGAATCGATCAATCGATCGATTGATTGATTGATTGATCGATTGATCGTTGCTGTCGTCTATTAACGTCATTTCGAATCCAAACAAACCGAAAAAAAACTTTGGTTTTTTAAAATTGAAATTGACATACAGAATCAACGCCAGAATCAAAGAATCAACATAAAAATCAAAGAATCAATTTTGTTAATCAGCGCGAAAAAAAACATTGTTCTAAATTTGGAAATAGCAACGCAAAACAGCAGCGTAACCCAGAAAAGATTAGCAGAAATTCTCCAGAAAATTTCCATTATTATGTCATTAGATTTAATGATCATCAACGCTGTTGATAAATTTGACGGAAATATTCCTACGGAAAAAAAAGTCAAAATCCAAAAGTCAAATCAAAAAACAATTTCGTTGTTGTTGATGATGATGATGATGAAAGTTTGCTTTGTTGTCGTTGATCATCATAATCATTATCGATTCAAAACGAAAGAAAAACACATCAAAAACATTATGATAATGATGATTACGATGATTGATTTCTAATGAAGTGAAAAATGAAAATGAAATTAATTGCATAATGATGATGATGACATGCAGAATTGCATGCAGAGAGAATATTCCAGAATTCTTGTCGAGCACGCAATACACATCATCATCATCATCGAATGTCAATAACAAACGCACACAGACAGAGATTGGATTTATTCAGTGAATTTTTCTTTCTTTTTGTAGGAATATTCTTTGGTGTTTGACATGTGAAGCCTTGCAGCAAAACAGGAACAACAAAAAAAAAGAAAATTCCAATGAAAACTACTTTTGGCTTCTAACAGAATATTCTAACAGAATATTCTAACAGAATATTTTTTCAGATTTTTTTTGAAAAAAGAGGCAAAAATCAAACTTTTTTTTGTGAATGAATAAATTTTGATCCACGATGACAGCTATCTTTTTATCGTCATTTTTTTCTTGTTATCGATGAAAAATTTCTTTGAATAAACTTTTCGGAAAAATTGTGATGAAAGATGAAACCGAAATAAGGAATATGAATGGAATGGAAAAAAATTGGCAGGTGGTTTTCACAAAGTTTTTTTCTGTCGATTCATATTCATTTTCGGTTGTAAATGTCAAGAATGGTCACCGAAAACCAAGAATTTTTTATAGCCTGAAGTATAGTGGTTGGGGAAAAAAGATAAGAAGAAAAGTTTTTTCCAGAAATCTTTCCGAAACAATTTTTTCCCCTTTTAAACATAAATAGCGCCATCTATTGACCAGAATCTTAAAAACATAGAAATTCTATCGTCTGATACTGTTGATTATCAATGCCATCTATCGACCAGAATCGGTAATAATGTTTGGAAAAAGTAAAGAATCTCTTTTTTTCTTTTGAAAAAAAAAACAATTAACCAAAATCAAACTAAAAAATTGATGTAAATGTACAATGTTTTCTATATATAGTCAAGAAAGGGTTAATATTCATAGAATTTTATTCAAATTTTTTTTTCGCATTCAATTCTTATGATCATTATCACCGAGAGCAAAACCTTCAATTTCAATGTCCTTGTGTACTATTCATAGACAGTCAGACAGACAGACAGACGACGATTATGGTGATTAGAATAATTATTCTAATAATCATTTACCGTCGGGTATTAGTTTGTTTTTTTTTTGTAAAAATGCATAAACGCAGACCGGGTTATATAATAATCCCGGTGGTTGTTATTGTTATGATTCAAAGTGATCAACAAAGGTTAGAAATAGAACAAAACAAGCAAAAAAACAATTATAATGAGGTAAAAATAGGCGAAAATTTTTCAATTTCTTGAAAATTCTGGAATCAAAAACGAAACAAAAAAAACTTACTTAGTTAGATAACGTTCAACGTTGCCTACATTAGCAAATTCTGATACAAACATGGTGATGGCGACGATTCTGTTGATTCTTGTGATTCTGTTTAATCATTATTGAATGATGATAGCGATGGTAATGTTTGAAAATTGAATGACAACATGATTGATTGAGAAATTTTGGAATTCAAAAACACAAT